CCAGAACATGTTCTTCCCTCTCTGCATTCTTCGTAATAGCCTGCGCCTGAGCTTCGAGCAGCTGATCAACAACCCTCGCAACGACATTTCCAGTCTGCTCGTTGAATAGACCCTGAAGCTCGGTCTTGGTGGCTGAAGCGAGTTGGTCTTCCAGCGCTTTGACAGCCTTGACACCCAGCTCCTGCACGGCTCTCTTTAACTTCTGGTCTTCTTCCACTTTTGCTTTCTTAGCAGCTTCTTCCCGCGCATCGGCACCGACAGCCTCAGCTTTGCGCTTCTCGGCTTTCGCCTTCTCGCGCCTTGCTCTTGCAGCAAGATATGCAGCCGAGTGTCCCAGAACCCGTCCATCTCTTGTCAAGGGTTGCGAAACGTTCAGCGGCGGCGCAGTGAAGAATAGCACGCGGCCCTTCTCGTCGCGCTGGAACTGCTCGCGGATATCCTGGGGGATGCTGGCATTGGCTTGGTCATTGAGAATGTAGACTTCCACAGGTGGAGGAGCCTTGTAGCCGGCGGGTGGTTGCTGGACATAGGGCTGCTGGTAGCCGGGGGCGGGGCGTGGGGTCTGGTATTGTTGCATTGGGGCAGCTGGTTGGGGAGTGAAAGGTACATGGGGGGTAATCGGCTGGTAGGAGGGTGCCTGGGGTGCTTGTTGATGGACATGCGGGGCAGGCGATTGTGAGGTGTGGTAGTGGCCTTGGTGTGTTGTTGTGTACGCGGATGAGATGTGATGATGTTGAGGTGTGGGCGCTGGCATCGGTGTGGGTACCGGTGCTTGTGCGATGGGATAGTTTGCCGATGGAGTACCGCCGTAGCTGTTTGAAGAAGCTGGAGGCAAGCTTGGGGTCGCCATTGGTGGCGCTGGTGGCGGTGTTGGCGGAGGAGGTGGTGTTGGTTCTGGAGGTGGTGAATCCTTGGGATCGCGCGGACGACAATGAACTGCACCAATCTTCGGAGGAGCATTCTCAGCGCCCCACTCAGGCTTGGGCAGATCGTCTGTCTCTTTCTGGTCGTCCTTGAGCATGTATGCGATTGGACTTGGCACCTTCTTCAATTTTCTCTGCGCATCGAACAGATCCATGACATAGTCCTTGTCCCGAACCTCGTCAGGAAGACAACTTGCCCATGTTTTGATCTTGTTCAGCTTGTGGTTCTCCTCATTGTAGCGAGCTTCGCAGACATAGATCTCTTTGTCTGGAGGAAAGTCGCGAGGGCGACCCTTGTTGTATCTCGTAACAAACATGACGAAGCAGCGGTCAACCACCTCGTCAATGCGGTGGTCGCGGTACTGGCCGGTCTTGACAACCTCGTTTTCCAAGAAGTGGCGGTCGAATCGATGCACCGTCTGCTCTGGGCGGTAATACCAACATGCATTGACCCATTTTCCGCCCTCTGAATCTTGCCATGTCCGGTAGATCTGTGCGACGATAGGTTTTGTTAGATCATTTGCGTTCTGGATGTGCACCCAGTCGCCAACCTTCCATAGCTCGCCGTTGTGCAGGATACCATTAGGCATGGGTATACGACCTTCCTCCATAACAAAGTCAGTATCTGGCTTCTCCTTCTCGGCCTTTGCAACCTTCCGCGACTCTTTCTGCAGATGTACAGCATCCTTGTAGATTTGGCTATCCTCCTCGTTGTATTGTTTGGCATTCTCGAACATAAGCTCGACGTCCACCATGAAGTGGTCGACCGAGTTGTACTTCTTGCGCTTCAGCTTACGCTTGAGGATGTCCATGGCCATGGGAGTTCTAATCTCGGCATGATACTCTGGCATCACTGCTTTGTCTGGAACACGTTCGAATGCGCTGACCATCAACTTGTTGGCCTGGTTACGGGGTTTGCGAATCGCTTTCATGATGGCCTTGATACGCGCCTCCATGGGTGTGTCAACCCGCGGTGGGCGTCCACGCTTCTTTCTTGACTCAGGGTCGTCGTTCTTTGCCTCCTCCCTCGCCCTTGCGCCACCCTCACGCTTAGCTATGGCTGCCGTGGACCGTGGACCGCGCCTCCTCTTTCGCTTGCTGTCACCATCTTCGTCGTCATCCTCTTCTTCGTCGATCTCCAGCTCCTCTTCGTCGTCTTCATCGTCCTCTTCCTCTTCTTCCTCTGGCAACAAAGGGTCTTGCTCTGGGATCTCTCCAAGATACGGGAGAGCTGCAACCGTCTCGGTGATGATGCTCTCGGTAACTAGTCGCTTGAGCTCTGACTCAATGACCTTCTTCACGTCCAGCGCATCCACGTATGCTTGCGAGTCTTGCCTATTGTAGACTTGGGCATTATGGGGAATGAGAGCTAGGTCGCGCACGAACTCGGAAAAGCTCTTGTAGTCTTTCGCTGCGACTCGTGACTTGATAGTGCTGAGAGCCATGGGCTCTTTGATAATGTCGTAGTAGTCGGGCACTGCGCGCTTATTGACCTTGCGCTGGAAGAGCTTCGTGGGATCGTAACCACTACGCAGATGTCAGCGCATGTCTCTAGTGGCGGTCGCAAGACGCATGTTGCACTCACTCGTCATTCCTGTAGTTGTAAATGTTGAGCAGCATGTCTGACATGGCCTGGTACTCTGGCTCGGTAACAGTTGAAGCAGCTCCATCTACGCCAGGGTCAGCCTTCTCGGTGGTCGGCACCGGCGTCGAGCTTTGGGCGCGTCCGGACGCCATATCTGCGGTGTTGTGACAGCGATCGGCGCGGGGGTGGATGTGCGCAAGCAAATGCGGTGTTGGAGAGAAGACGCGCCGTGAACATGGCAGGAACGACCGTGTCTCGAAAGGTCCGTGCGTGGCAAGCTCGACAGGGGTGTTAGCTTCCGTGTTCGTTCGACCCACCATGCCATGCTTCCGGAACATTCACCTGCGACGCGTCACGTCGGTCATCAATCATGTCGCCATGTACTCTAATACTCTAATTCATAGCTTTACAATACACTCCCCACTGCGCAAGCTCTATCCACTGTTTCTCCCCTTTCCACATTGTCTTGCCTTTGCACTGTCTTGAACATCGCATCGAAAGCTCCGCTGGCTGATCGCACCTTCCCCTCTAGCCCCACCGCAACATTTACACATTTCCACTCTCTCCATACGCCACTCACCCACTTACACACCTCTAAAGCACCCCAGCAAGATGCCAATCAGGATCCGATTACGAGCGCCCAACGGGCAGCATACGCTCTCCCTTGACGACAACGCCGCCGTCTCCGACCTACTTTCGGCTATCTCTACGTCGACGAACCTACCACTGTACGAGCTAAAATGGGGTTTCCCACCACAACCCCTTGATCCATCGCTCTATGGGCTGTCGACACTCTTGAAGGACATCGATCTTAAACTCAACGGCGCAAACATAGTCGTCATAGCGCAAGCAACCGGCGATCCCAGTGAGGTTGCAAACCAAGAGGAAGATGGCCAGGCTGTGGCGTCACAGTCGGCGGCACCCCTATCTCTACAGCGAAAGGAACAACCAGCTTTGAAGGACACCCCCGAGGTTCATGTGCCTGACCGAGCTGGTACGATAGTCCTGCGCGTAATGCCTGACGACAATTCCTGTATGTTCCGAGCTGTAGGAAGCGCAGTCCTGACGGATACCCTTGATTCGATGACAGAGCTGCGATCCATGGTGGCACAGAGTATACAGCGGGATCCCGAGTACTATAACGAGGCAATCTTACAACGCACACCGGACGACTACTGCAAGTGGATACAATACTCAGATTCGTGGGGTGGAGGTATTGAGCTGAGCATACTGTCGCAGGAGTTTGATATCGAGATAGCCAGCATCAATGTGCAAGACCTGCGCGTGGATCGATTTAATGAAGGTAAATCACGGCGGTGCATCCTGGTCTATTCAGGCATTCACTACGACACTATCGCCTTTGTCCCCAGCGGCTCTTCCACATTCAGTCCTGAGAACGATATCAAGCTGTTCGACGCGAACGACGATGTCATTCTAGAGGCTGCCCGACAGCTGTGTGGAGAGTTAAAGAAGCAAAAATATTTCACAGATACACAAAAGTTCGACATCAAGTGCAACATTTGTGGGTGGAGAGGTGCAGGTGAACGAGGGGCGGTGCAGCATGCCGAAGAAACTGGCCATGTTGACTTTGGCGAGGCAAACTAGGTGGATCTCTTGAAGAGCGTAGAGTTGAACAACCACTTCAGCGAACCGTATATATAGGCCGTGCCGCTGCGATGTAGAGTTTATACTCTTGAGGTTGCTGGACTGTAGTGACAGGCGCAACTTGCACTAGTTTATACATTTTTTCACCAGACGCCAATTTGAACAGCACATCAGTTCGTTGATTTTTGTTGTTGCGTCCTCACCACTCGACCTCTGACTATTTCAAGTGGCGCAGTTCTAAATCTTCCAAGTCAAATTATACATTGATGTGTTGCCATTGGTGTAAACTTTCCTTACATTGGAATGTGAATTCTCAATACATCTTCTGACGGTTAACGTACCCGATCAATTTCTCACGTCGAGTGTACACAAGGTGAATAGAATCTGTCTTTGTTAGTCTACAATCATGCATTAGGCTACAAGGCGCTTTTGCTGCAGTGAAGTACTAATAGAATTCTTCTAAAGCTCTACTGTCAGAAAAAAATGCAGAAACTTCTAGGCTATTGCATTCGAAGCCGCATCTTGATTAGCGAACTCGGCTTCCATAAACTGATGTTGAGAACCTGAATTAGGACCCTTATGATCAAGTTTACTTTTTTTTTTCTCATCTACTAGTACAGTCGATATTTTCCTTTATCTTATATTGTAGCAAGACAGCAAGACATGGGCGTTGGTGGGTTCGTCCACACCTGAGTTTGCCAAAAATTTTCACTGACTAGCTACTGACTCAAGGGAACGAAGACGTCATCAGATATGGAAGATTGTTCAACAACTGAAAAGAGGGCCTCGGTATTTCAAATTCAAGTGTATATTGCATTTATTCACCGGAATATTCATCAATCACATCCGATATGGTCTAGGTAAGCTCAATCACCACTCGCTCCATCACCAACATCAACTAACGACTTCAAGTGGCTAGGATTTGTCGCTCTCATCTGTTCGCAGTAGTGCCGACAAGGCCCGGGTTCAATTCCCGGTGTCGGAAAGCATTCTTTTTTGCGATTCCATGGTCTCTGGTGGTGGCTGTGAATGGAGGCTGGCTTGAAAGAATTTGGTTCGATTTTTTGGACCCACCAGACTAAGCGGAGCACCAACATCGGCATAGATGACGCAGTCGGTGCCTGGCAATTAATTGGAACTGTCTGACTTTTTGTGCAAATTAGCACACATAGAGGATATGATTATATGTTGTTCTTCTTCCTCCAGAAATCCGCCTTCACCCCTCCCGCCTGAATCAGTGTCTTTTTTGGCGGCTCCGCTCCCAGCAACAACTTCATATCTGGATCTCCTTTCTCCATCGCCCTTCGATACGCTGGCCTCTCCCCAATATCTTTCAAATACCTGACAATGTTCGGGTACTCCTCAAAGCTAACCAGCGGTCCAAAATACCGCTTCGACGTAAGCGAGTAAACACTCATGATATCCGCAACCGTGAAGTCTTTCCCTGCCAACCACTTGTTGCTCTTGAGCCGCTCATCCATCATCTTCAGAGTCTCATGCAGACCGTGCAACGAGAACTTCTGCGCCGCATTATCCTGCGGAATCTGCCCAATTTCAAAGAACGTAAAGCGGTTCATCAGCGCCTGTAAGGTGCCGTTGGAGAAATGATACCAGTACAGGAAATCGACATATCCCGGCTCTCCATACGTCTTTGAGAGCTTTTTCTCAAGGTTCTGGCTCCCTAGTTTCCCGGCCGCGTTGGCAGCGAGAATATAGTCGCAGATAGCTGCGCTTTCAGAGAGTGTGATGCCTGCTTCTGGGTCCTCGATGAACGGTGCTTTGCCGGTAGAGTTGCCGGGTATTTCTTTGAGAGATTGTGGGGCGGCGATGGGGTCTCGTGTGTGGTGGACGATTTTGTAATCAATTGCGAGCTCTTCGCAGAGGAATATAATGCGCTCGCTTTGTGAGATGCCGAGGTGGTGGACGGTTAGAACCATGGCGATCCAAGGTTCTGTTGTTGAAGAGCAAATTTGATATCCTCGTAAGTTGTCGAGCTCTAGTTGTAAAGTGATACGAGCAAACACATAGTCAACCCTGCTGCAGGTCCAGCTATTTACCTGGGTATACAATGGATGCGTTGACGTCAGTCGCCGAATAACCGTTCGCGAAGTGCAGCTAGTACGCTGATCTAAAGCCGACCTCGGTACGCACGTTCTGATATCGCTACCCACATCCAAGTCAGACATCACATGTTATATTGCATGCACCTGGAACTTAGCATACCAAACCCAGTACACCAGGGTGCGACAAAATGTGCTCAATTGCTGAACAAAGCTGGCGAGGCTTTCTCGTGATATCATGCGAACGCCAAAGGACTCGTCTACTATAAACGTCAACTGTACAATCCAGCCGAAGCAAACCCTCTCAAACCCCAAACACCAATGTACACGCCAGAAATGAAGACATACGGACAGCATTTAGAACCCAAAGGGATTTCCGCCACCCTGCTGGAACTTGAAGCTACCGCCCCCACCAGGGAAGCCACCGCCCTGCCTGAACATGAATTGCTGACCACCACCGAATGGTGAGCCTTGGAATGGGTTACCGCCCTGCTGCTGCTCAGGGTTGTTCGGATCATCACCACGGTCGAAGCGCTCCTTCAGCTCTGGGTCAGACAAAACTTCGTATGCCTCGTTGACAGCCGCCATTTTCTTCTGTGCCTCCTCAGGGGTCGTATTTTGAGAACTGGCTTTGTCGGGGTGATACAGCTTCGTCAGCTTGCGCCAGGCTTTCTTGATATCGCGGTCTCCAGCGTCGCGTGTAAGACCGAGAACTTTGTAGTAGTCTTTCTGCTTGGAGCGCTTCAGGAGGGTGTGGGCTTTCTGAAGGAGTTCCTGGATGCGTTGGTGTTGGTGATGTTCTTTGGCGTGGTCGAGGGTGCGGATTGCATCTTCAAAGTTATCCCCTTCCAGTTCAAGTTGCGCACGGTTAAGAAGACCGTGAAGGGAGTCAGGATTCAGGGCCAGAGCTTCGGCACAATACGCTGTGCCTTTCTTGAGGTTGTTCATCTCGTTGTAGGCTTCACATGTCATCTCAATGAGTTGTGTGTATAGCCCCTGTGGTGAGCTCTTGTAGATGTAGCCTTGATCGACGTAGTCCTGGAAATCCTGCTTGACCTCCTTTAGTAGGCCAGGTTCTTCCTCGCCACGGTCGACGAGGAGCTTCGATGCAGTTGCAAATTGTCGTCGTTCGAAGTTGTTCTTAAGCTTTTTAATGGTCTTCTCAAGGTTCTTCTCCCGCCTCCTGAGCTTCATGCAGTCTTTCGAGTCTGGGTCTGATTGCAGACATTGCGCAATGTATTTGAGCCCCTTGTCAGTCTCGCCGAGAGAGTAAAATGCCATAGCTGAGCTTTGGAGGTAAGGTGCAGTGTCACCAGTGTTGATTTGGAGCAGATGCTGCAGGTCAGCGATTCCCTCAATAACCTCGCCCTTCTCAAAACGGCAAGTGGCTCTTGTTTTGCGAATATCGTATGCTCCACCGGCCACCACGATGGCGGTGCCTGCCTGCTGTATGCAAGAGTCCCAGTCGCCCTTCTTGGCCGCCTCCTCAGCTAGAACGGCAGCGCCTTGTGCTTCTTCGAGTTGCGCAATCTCGTCTGACTTGTTGGCTGCCTCGTAGTCTCTGCGCGCAGCGACCCAATCGGCTTTCCTCGCTCTTATTTTAGCCCTCTGCAGCAGCGCACCCTCGAAGCCAGGCTTCAAGTCCAACACCTTGTTGAAGTCGTGTTCGGCCTGGATCGTCCTGCCGAGCGAGAGGTAGGCGGCACCACGCCTGAAGAAGGTGAGGTAGTTCTTTGGGTCTCGAGTGATGGCAACATCGAAGTAGGTGAGGGCATCTTGCGTGTTGCCCGACGCAAGCTGGACGCTGGCGTCCTTGATCAGCTGTGACACCGGGGTATCGGCGGGAATGTCAGCGGGAGACAGTGCGCTTGCCAGTGGGAGCAGGCCCAGGGCTAGTGAGGATAGTCGAAGTATCATGGTGGCGAGCTGCAGCAGTAGAATGAGTGACGGTGGTGGTGGGCGAAGTGGATGCGAGGACTGGGAAGAACACACAGGTGGGAACACTTCAGGGCATGGAAGTTGTGGGATTGGTGGCTTATATAAAGGCCCGGTGAATGCGACAGGTGAAAGTTGTCCTTTCGAGAACACCGAGGGTCCATAGCGGCATAGCCGCATGAACGACACAAATGGCAGGGGTCCCCTGTCGTGCACAATACGCAACCACCCCCGATGACGCCGGTCGAATACGACGCGACGCCGCAGAGCACCAAGACCTGCTAGACCGAGTAGCCTTGGACATTTCGACGCCCCATCACTAACGTTTCTGTTCTTCTCTCTCGCGTCGTCATTCACGTTCACATTCAAAACACCCACAAACCATCATGTCGCAAATGAGACTGCGCATCGACGGCCGAACGTTCCGCGACCCCCAGAACCGTGAGGTCACGCTCCACGGAATCAACTGCGCCGCCGATGCGAAGCTCCCCGCAACCCCAGATTTACCCTCACATGTTTCTGAGAAGTTCTTCGATGGCGACAGTGTTTCGTTTGTGAACCGGCCTTTTTCTCTCGAAGACGCTGGCACACATTTCTCGCGGTTACGAGGCTGGGGCTACAACACCATTCGGTACATCTTCACATGGGAGGCGATAGAGCATGCAGGGCCTGGAAAGTACGACGAGGATTGGATCGAGCACACCATCGCAATCCTGAGGAAAGCAAAAGAGTACGGCTTTTATATTTTCATGGACCCGCATCAGGATGTGGTGAGTATGCTCTGTGCATGCAAAGCTTTAGACTGACTGTGTGCAGTGGTCGCGGTTTACTGGAGGCTCAGGAGCGCCTATGTGGACAGTCTACGCCTGTGGACTGGATCCCCAACACTTTGCCGTCACTGAAGCCTCACTCGTGCAGAACACCTACCCAGAACCAGACAAATTTCCCAAGATGATTTGGGCTACCAACTACACACGACTTGCTTGTCAAGTCTTATTCACACTGTTCTTTGCTGGACGTGACTTTGCGCCCAAAGCCATTATTGATGGCAAGAACATTCAGGATTACTTGCTGGACCACTACATTGGTGCTATCGAACACCTCGCCAAGCGTATCCATGAGACAGGCGACCTCGAGTATGACCCAATCGTTGGCTGGGAGAGTCTCAATGAGCCCAACAGGGGCTTGATCAGTTACCAAGATATCACTGTTGTCCCTAAGGAGCAGCAACTGAAGAAGGGTACAACACCCACTGCGTGGCAAGCTATACTAACCGGATCTGGTCGGGCTTGCGAAGTCGAGACATGGGATTTCGGTGGTATGGGTCCGTACAAATCAGGGACAGCCTTGATAGACCCCGAGGGCAGAAGTGCATGGCTGTCCAAGGACTACGACGACACGCGTTACGGCTGGAAACGTGACCCTGGCTGGAAGCTTGGCGAATGCATATGGGCTCAGCATGGTGTATGGGATCCAACCAACGACACAGTTCTCAAAAAGGGCTACTTCGGAAAGGATCCAAAAAATGGAGCAACAATCGACTACGAATACTTCACGAACCATTACTGGTTGGCGCACTATCGAACGTATAGCAAGATGATCAAGTCAATTTTCCCAGACTCATTAATGTTCTTCCAGCCGCCAGTACTCGAGATACCGCCCAAGATCAAGGGGACTCCAGATGACGACCCGAATATGATTTTCTCGCCACACTTCTACGACGGTATCACGCTCTTGACAAAGAAATGGAATCGGGTATGGAACATCGACGTCTTTGGCGTACTACGAGGGAAGTATTTGACGCCCGCGTTCGCTATCAAAATCGGAGAGAATGCAATCAGGAATTGCTTCGCACACCAGCTGAAGGCTATTCGGGAGGAAGGTACGGAGTACACAGGTGTTCATCCTTGTGTTTTTACCGAGATTGGTGTACCCTATGATATGGATGACAAGTATGCGTATCAGACTGGCAACTACAGCAGTCAGATAG